TCTTTAAAATAAATAAATAAAATCACCACATTCTAAAAATATTTCAGTCACGTAGAGTATACAATAATCACAGATCTCTCTGTCCCTAAAATGGGACAATTATAAGTTGGTTTTTCTTTTTTTAAGATTTATTTAGGGGTGCCTGGGTGGCTCAGTTGGTTAAATGTCTCACTTCGGCTCAGGTCATGGTCTCAGGGTCCTGGGATCGAGCCCCACATCAGGCTCCATGCTCAACAGGGACTGCTTCTTCCTCTCCCTCTGCCCTTCCCTTCACTCATGCTTTCTCTCAAATGAAATCTTTTTTTAAAAATAAAATATTTATTTAAGAGAGAGAGAGCACACGGGGTGAAGGGCAGAGGGAGAGGTAGAGAAGCAAACTCCCCACAGTGTGCAGAGCCCTACATGGGGCTCAATCTGAAGACCCTGAGATCAGGACCCGAGCCGAAATCAAGAGTTGAAGACTTAATCCACTGAGCACCAAGGGACAATTAGAAGTCTTAATGAAATTTAATACCTAAGTCCTTATGAAGGGCTTAGTAACTGATAAAACTTCAATAAATTCTCATAAATGATCAAGAACCTAAGGAAAGAAAAATCAGGCTCTTGTTGATACATATTTTTGCTATTGACTGTAGTTTTTTCATCTTTCTCAATAGGGATGAACACATTGCTTTGTGCTCCCATTCAGACCCAGATGCAACAGAGAGAGGTATGAGTTCATGCACATGCCTTTTATTTTATTCTCCCTTGTAGTTAACACACAAAAAAATTAATGGTAATGGCATGATTTAGGGATTACTTACTAAAGAAGACCAGCGTAGACTGGAAAACTTCCTACCTTTTCAGTTAACCTAAGGACAGTTCAATCATGGCCAGTTTAAATAATAGGGAAATATATAATTATATCAGGACTTCTCAAACTATAATGGGCATATGCAGGATTTTGTTAAAATATAGATTCTTTTTCAGTATATCTGGGGCAGGCCCTGAGATTCTACACTTCTAACAATCTCCTGATGATACTAGTGCACTAGTTCACAAAACATACTTTGAGTAGCAAGGAGTTAGACTGTTTCCTTACAAATAAAACCATTGCATTAAGATTCAAAGAGAACCCAACTTCCAAGAGTAGAGTGTACTATAAATTAGCCGTCATGCTCTTAGCCCATTCTAAGTATTTTTTACTTAGGATGCGAATGACCTATCTAATATAATAATTAGAATTTTCATTATAGTTACATTTGATATTGTCAGTCTTTTTCATTTTTTAGTCATTCTAGTTGGTGTATAATTAATCTTGAACTTTTATTTGTCGAAAAACACTAAAAGCATTTACAGACTTCGAAAAAAAATGTAATAACAAATTACATGCTACATACCACACCACTGATTCAAACAAACCAGTGTATCATGAAGCCATCGTTGAGGATTATTTATATAGTACTCTATATATAGTACATATTATAAAATACCTGTCTTAAAAGTTTGCATTTGATCTGATCTCCTATATTTTGCTTTCATTATAGATTTCAGTTACAGAACACAACCATGAAAGGAAACATGCAAATGACCAAACAGTCATCTTTTCAGATGAAAACCAGATGGACCTAACAACAAGTCACACCATAATGATTACCAAAGGCCTTTTAGGTTGTCCTAAAAGTGAAAAGTCCACTAAGATAGATACCACATCATTTCTGGCTAACTTAAAGCTCCATACTAAGGATTCAAGAATGAAAAAAGAATTAAATTTTTCCACGGATCAAAGCACTTCTTCAGAAAAGAAAATAAATTTTAATGACTTCATAAAAAGATTGAAAATGGGAAAATCTAATGCCTCTCTAACAGGACCTGATAAAGAAAATTTCGAGATATCTATTCATCCCAAAGAATCAAATAGGGACTCTTTTGTACATCAAATGCATGTATCTCTTAGGGTAGATGAAAATAGTAATAATATGACTAGAATCTTTAGAGAACAAGATGATGGGATGAATTTCACCCAGTGTCATACAGCCAATATTCAGACTTTGGTTCCCACATCCAGTGAGGTCAGCTTAAGGGAATTTAAAGGTGATGATATTACTATTTATGGCAATGATTTTATGGACTTGACAAGTAATCACACTATACAGAATTTACCCTCATCAGATAATTTATCTAATATAGAAAATCAAACTCAGAATGTCATGATGGAGGTTATGACAGATTATGGAACTAAAGCTCCAGGAAGGAAGACAGTCTTTAAGAATAAACCAAATGCTGCTTTTCAAGACCCTTCTTTAAACCCTAATGGTGAAATACATATTACCAAAAGTTGTATTACCGGGACAGAAACTCACACAGGCACACAGACTTCTAACCAAGATGCCAGAACATTGGCCATAATCCCAGAATCTATATGTTCCAGCCCAGCGACTCAAAATTATAAGACATTTTTCTATTCTAATAGTAATGATGCCATGGAACTGACCAAGTGTCTCTCAGTTATGAGAGAAGAGAAGAATTTGCTGAAGAATGATAGTAATTATTCTAAAATGTATCCCAATCTAGATGCCATCTCTCTTCTCACAGAGAAAACTATTTATTCAGGAGAGGATAGCATGGACATTACCAGGAGTCATACAGTTGCAATAGATAATCAGATTTTTAAGCAAGATCAGACAAATATACAGAGAGCAGACACACCAATATCTGAAAAAGAAATGATGCTCCAAAATCTCATAACCATGTCAGAGGATGGGGAAATGAATATAAATTGTAGCTTAGTTCCTCATGTATCTAAGGGAAGATTACAGCAGAGCCTGGCAAATTCTTTATCTATTTCATTGACTGACAAAAAGACTGAAATCTTCACGGGTGAAGATATGGATTTGACTAAAAGTCACACAACTAACTTACAAAGTCAAGCTCCTCTTGCATCTTACAATCTAATATTTGAGAATACCAGTAAATTTCACTCTCACAGCAAAAGCCCTTCAGATGAATGGGAAGAAATGACCAAAAGTCATATTGAACCATCCCAGCAGCCAAACATAATATCTAAAAACATTCCAACTGACATGTGGGGCAAAGAAAAAGATCAAGTTTTAAAGACTGCACCCTATCTTGATAAAGATTCTCCTCAGTCAGCTGATATTAATCAAGACATAGCACTGAGCCATAGTATAGTATACTCTGGTGGAAATCTTAAGAAACAAATAGCACTGGGAAACAATAGAAATACAGTTTCATGTGAGCCATCTTTCTTTCCTACCACAGAGTCACTATTTTCATTAGAAGGACAGTCTACCATGAAAAATCATAATACTACTGTTAACAGTTACACAGAGAAACCTGTATCAGGCCAGAATTCTGAACTGCCTGAGCCACTGAGGAAAAGTGTAGGCAATCCCACACCTGGCTGTTCCCATAACAAAACAATTATTTGTTCAGAGGAGGAACAAAATATGGATCTAACCAAGAGTCACACTGTTGTCATTGGATTTGGTCCTTCTGAAGTACAAGAATTGGGTAAAACTAATTTAGAAAATTCTAACAGCCAGCTAACAACAGTAGACAGACAGATAACTGTAAAAGTTGAAAAATGTAATAAAATTCCTACAGAAAAAACTGGAGCATTTATTTCTAATGATAACATAGATGTGTTAGAAGACAAAAGCATACAAAAACTTGGATTTCTGAATGAAAAGCAAGATGTCAAAATTTGTGGAAGGAAAAGTGTTGGCAGACAAAAAATTGATAAGACTATTGTATTTTCAGAAGATAATGAGAATGATATGGATATCACTAAGAGTTATACAGTGGAAATAAATCATAAAGCTTTATTACATGAACAAGATTCCCATTTGGCTGGAAATTCTAAGACTGTTTTGTATACATGTGGGCAAGATGACATGGAGGTCACTAAAAGTCACACAACTGCCTTAGACTGTAAAACTGTTTCACCAGATAAAATAACCACTAGGCCAATGGACAAAACTGTAATGTTTGTAGATAATTGCAATGAACTGGAAATGACAGAGTCCCATACTGTTTTCATTGACTACCAAGCAAAGGAGAGGACTGTGCTTACAGACAGACTTGACTTTGAACTATACAAAAGGAAAAGCCTAGAAAAGCCAAAACTGACACCTGCTTCTGCTAAGGAGAATGTTTCCTTTCCAGAGAATGGTGAAAGTGACCATTCAGCAAAAGTCAACGAGCTAACACTACTGAGGGGATGGTCTAACAATGGTCCTATAGAGAAAGCTGTAGGATTTATAGCTGGTGATAACATGGAAGTATCTAAATCAACCTTTTGGAAAAATGATGATGTACAAAAACCAGAATTTCTGAATGAAACTATATCAGGCAAAAGTCAGAGAAGGAAAAGCCTTAGACTCAAAAATGACAAGACTGCTGCATTTTCCAAAAATGATAAAAATGATATGGATATCACCCAGAGCTATACAGTGGAAATAAACAAAACTGCCCTGGAAGATAGAGAGGATTCCCATTTGGTGCCTTTGGCAGGAACTTCTAAAACTGTTTTGTATATATATGGGCAAGATGACATGGAGATGACTAGAAGTCACACAACTGCCTTAGAATGTAAAACTGTCTCACCAGATAAAAAAACTACCAGGCCAATAGACAAAACTCTAATGTTTGTAGATAATCATGATGATCTGGAAGTCACCAAGTCCCATACTGTTTTCATTGATTGTCAAGACACAGAGAAAAGTCTTAAAGAATGCCCTAAATCTGGAATAGCTAATGGAAAAATTTGGGGTATTTCTTTTCATAATGATGGTAGCTCTGTTCAAGAAGTCATTGAAAAACAAGCACCGGCTGTAGAAAACAAAATTGTTCTTTACACTAAGCAAAAGCATCATGTGATACCCTCTGTTCCTACTAATACATTGTCTAGGGGTCAAAGTGAGTTAGAAGTTATCAAATTCAATAGCACTGTAGATGAAGAGGTCATGGGGAAAGTTGTAGACCAGGCCTATACACTGGAAAAAGCAAAAATTGTAAGCTGTCAGTTAAATAGTACAGATAGAAGAGACATGGATTTTACAAATAGTCATGCAATTGCTGTGTGTGGATCCAGTGATAATTATTCCTGTTTACCAAATGCTGTTTCCTGTTTTGATAATTTGGAGGGGAATGTCATGTCCTTAGGTGATAAAGATGAGAAAGCCAGTAACTGTCCAGTGCAAAATGATCTTATTTATGTAAACAATTTAGCCAATGAATATTACTTGAAATCTGAGGGACTGCCTCTCTCTGCTTCTTGTTCTTTGTTAGAAAAGGAAAAAGTGACTCAAACCAATACCAAAGGACAGTCAGACTGTGTTACAACAGTGCTCAAAGATCAAGATCTGATTAAGGAGCCCCAAAATTTAATAGCTAATCAAACTTTATTATATAGTCAAGATCTGGGGGAGATAACTAAACCTAATTCAAAGCAAGTATCTTTTAAGCTCCCAGAGGATCAAATGGAGGGCTTTGTTGATAAGGCAGAACATAATTTAAAGATGACCTTTGTTGATGTTTGTGTTACTTCTCAGCCTCATCTCTCAAGCCAGCTACCTCCATTACCTCAACAAGGACAGATAATTGTGAATAAAGATGAGACTATATCATCGAATGCTGGAAATAAGAATTTAAATATTGTTATAGGAAATCCCTCTGTACCCACATGTGAAAATGAGTCCAAAATGCTCAACAATGACAAACAGTTTACTATAGCCTGTACAAAGGAGCCAAGAAAAAATATTCAGACAGCTAAATGTAATACAGATTTCCACAGTAATTCAGACTTGACTAAGCAAGTTATTCAAACTCGTGCTAATTCTAGAGAAACATCAGATCCTGCAATTGCATCTAATACTGCAAGTTTTAGTAGTGTCAGATCAAATCTGAATAATTTGAATGGAAAACCTAAAGAATTTTTAGATTTCCAAACTCCTCATATACCACCTTCTCCAGAACAATTATTTGCATTAGTAAATAAGGCACACAATCATATGAGTATAGTGCAAGCTACAGAAATACATAATATTAACACAGTGCCCAGCAATGTTGAAGATGATAGAGATGAAAAAAGTAAAATTTCTCATAATGGAGCTGAAACTAATTCTGTACCACTCGTGACAGTTGTAAAAGATAAAATGAGGAGATGTTCTTTGGGAATATTTTTGCCCAGATTGCCAAACAAGAGAAATTGTAGTGTCACTGGTATTAATGACCTGAAGCAGATTCAAGCAGAAACAACTGATTTAAATCATTTAGAAGCTCAACCAGTCTTCAGTAAGGAGTCAAGCATTGAATTTGTTGCAGCTAAACTGACCTTAAGTCCATCTCAATATATAAATGAGGAAAACCTTCCTGTATATCCTGGTGAGATTAATTCCTCAGATTCTATTACTATAGAATCTGAGGAAAAGGCTTTGATTAAGACATATCAAAAAGAGATTTCACCATCTGAAAATAAAATAAGAGAAACCTACAGTAGCCAAAAAAGGACCTGGGTACAAGATGAAGAGGATATTCAGAATGAGAAGAAAATCAGGAAAAGTGAGATTAGGTTTAGTGATACTGCACAAGATCAGGAGGTAAGCTCTGTCTTGAACTAAGGAATGTGTTTTTTAAGTTAGGAGTATTGAGTTTTAATTTTAGTCTTGGATGAGCAGGAATTGATTATTTCCAGTTATAGGGCTGGAGAAATATTCCTATTTAGAATGTTAAGGAATTATTTGACTAACAGCTAGATTTAAAAACAATTTGAAGTGACAAATCATCACAAAAAGTGAAATGAGAAGTAGTACAAAAATTAATGTAATTGTGTAATTTGTCATTGTGGTTTTGCATTAGGAGAATCTCTAGGCATGGTATATGTAGTTTGAAACGTTAAATTTAGTCTAAATATCTGAATATTTAGTCTTAAATTCAGTCTAAATATCTGCATAACAAAAAAGCCTTTTTGTTATGCAAACTGCATAAAGAAAAGCTTGCCTGAATTTTCTTGGCTAATGAGGATATGTAGAATGCCTCTTTAGTGGATGAGAGAATGCCTAGGTCAAGCCCAGTATCTCAAAGTGAAGAAGTGAGAATTTGAGTTTATGAAAGAGGTTATAGATTTTAAAAGTTGAGGGAACACTCATTTGGATAACTTGGAGAGAATAAAATCTGTCACTCAAACTGAGTTTTATAGGTAGAGAAATAAAAGATTAGAAAGTATCAGAGGGGGGCGCCTGGGTGGCTCAGTCAGTTAAGAGGCTGCCTTCAGCTCAGGTCATGATCCCAGGATCAAGCCCTGCTTCTCCCTCGCCCTCTACCTCTCCCTACTGCTTGTGTTCCCTCTCCCAAAAATAAATAAAATCTTTTTTAAAAAAGTATCAGGGGCGGGGCGCCTGGGTGGCTCAGTCAGTTAAGAGGCTGCCTTCAGCTCAGGTCATGATCCCAGGATCAAGCTCGGGCTCCCTGCTCAGCGGGGGGCCTGCTTCTCCCTCTCCCTCTGCCCCTCCCTCCCTCAAATAAATAGAACTTAAAAAAAAAAGAATATAGGTAAAAAGTCGCTCTTTGCTAGTGGATATAAACTGAAGAAGGCAGTTGGCAGTATCATTCAAAATTTTAAATACACATGCCCTTTGACTCAGTAATTTCATGTCTGGGAATTTATTTCAAGATACTTGTAAATGTTTAAAATGAACATATAAGGTTATTTGCTGCAGCATTTATTGTAATAGCAAAGGAGGTAAAAGATCCTAAGGATCTATCAGGGACTGGTTAAATAAATTCTAAATTTTCCATGTAATTGACTACTCTTGAGCTGGAAAAAAAGATTCTTTTTATATACTGATTCAGAAAATTCTCTAAGCTTAGGCTCCTCACAGTTAACCACCGCTGAGTGTGGAGCCCAGCATGGGGCTTGAACTCAACAACCCTGAGATCAAGACCTGGGTGGAGATCAAGAGTCAGATGCTTAACTGACTGAGCCACTCAGGCACCCTGATAATTTTAGATGTCTTTGCAGAAACTTAAATGTATATCCAAGTGCATGTTTATCTTTAGTTTTTGTTTTTAACAAGACAAAAATGAGAATACTTAATAATATGTCTGATAACACTTTCCATGTTGTTACATATAGATATACCTCAGTCTTTCATAATTTGTTGTATGTTTGCATCAGCATTTAGTCAGCTCCCTGTTGATGGACATTTGGGTTGTTTTCTTTTATTTGCTTTTTTTAAGGCTAAATCTCTAGATAATGAGTTGCTTTTTAGGTTGTTCTTTAAAAAAAAACAACAGCATATATTAAGCACATTTTTATAGTATCCTTGAAATTAACAACGCCTGAAGACCAATCTGAAAAGGTTCCTTTGACTGCCTTGTAATTTTTTTCTGCCAGAGTTAGATGAGTCTTTTTAAAGATGTCATTGTATTTTTCTGACAGTCACCCTATGAAAACCTTTCACCTTCCCTACTCTTTCAAATGTTATGATTCTTGATCATTGTTTGGGATATAGATTCTTAAAATACTTTTTAATTTTTAGGAATAAGAATCCAGAAGATAACTACTATGAGATTACTGGTGAGTATGACCAGAATACTTTTCTTACCACATAACTTTCTCTTCAGCCAAATTTCGGACAGAGTAATGTGTAAAAGAACTTTGGAAAAAAATGTAAAGAGCTCTGTTCTTTATACAAAATCTTCAATATGAAATTTCACAAATTTGCTATTATTTCTGCCAGACCTGCTGTTCCACTTGTTTTCTCTATTTTGGATTCCCACTCACTCATTCATTCACTCAAGTCAGAAATTGAGTCATTTTTGAACTTTTTCCTCATTCTCTATATCTATTTGTCTTCACTCTCTATTCTTTCTCTTAAATATCTTGCAAATCTTTTACCTCCTCTCTGTTCCTTCTGCCACTGTTTGAGTTCAAATCTTCATTGTTCATTATTCTTTCAGGGGCTATTGTATTTAGTTTCTTATCCCTATAATCCATTCTGCATATTTCTAAATCTGATATTACCTCCCAACTTAAAATTTTTCAATGACACTTTTTTCCTTACAGGATAAAACCCACATTCTTTGGCATAGACTTTGAAGGCTCTTTAAAATTTGGCTTAACTTCTCCTACCTTATCTCTTACCCTTTATAGATATGCTCTAGCCCATGAAGAAGTATTAATAGATCCCCATGTTGACTTTTTTTCTGGGTATCCATTTCTTTCTTCTCTCTGAAGTGCCCTTCCTACTCCAAGTTGCCTATTAGTCTTCTCATTTTTCACCTAACTTAGTTTTTCACTTAGGTTAACTTCAGTGCTATTCAATGTAGCCAGTCCAGGGTGCCTGGCTGGCTCAGTTGGTGGAACATGCAACTCTTGATCTCAGGGTTGTGAGTTTGAGCTCCACACTGGGTGTAGAGATTACTTAAAAATAAAATCTTAATAAAAAAAAAAAAAAGTAGCTAGCCCTCAAACTGTTAATAATCCATGACATAAACGGAACTTGCACTAGAATGTAAATCAACTATGGCAGTAAACTACTGTTTAGTTAGCTGACATTTTTTTCTTAGCAAAGCTTTCTTGATGAAAGAAATATCACATGATTTACATTGGCTGCAAGCTCCTTATTTCATCATGAATTGGTAACAAGCAGTTCACAGACTGGCACCAGACATCAAGTTGTACTGGCTTAAATGGAGCCTTTTCTGACAAAACCAAGGAGTCACTCTGTCCTATAATGGTTTAATACCCCTTTTATTTCTGAGTCTTTTGTAGAATTTATCATACTGTATTTTAGGTATTTCCTTCTGGCTCCTTAATTAAACTGGGAACTCTGAGTCCAGAAATTTTGTCTGTTCTTTGTGCCTTAGTAGGTAGTTGACTTTTGAGGCACATGATAAGTTCTGAGTAAATATTTGTTGGATAAGTGAATGAAAGCTTGATATATAAGTAAGATTTTTAACAAAAAGCCTATAATTACTTCATATTCAATCAAGGTTGCCATAAACTCTTTAAAATGTTTCAAAGATTTTTGTGATGAGCACTGGGTGTTGTATGGAAGTGTTGAATCACTGTATTGTACATGTGAAACTAATATTACACTGTATGTTAACCAGAATTTAAATAAAAACTTTAAAAAAATGTTCTAGAGATTTGCCTTTAAACTTAAATATTATAAAAATGTATTTCCTGTTTTATTACAGCATCTTCAATCCCTTCCTTATTTCCAAAGTCCATCTAATCTTTATATTTCAATCCTAAAGTGTCCTGAGTCTAATCCTTTCTTTCCATTCTCATTTTCTCTTACCCAAACAGAAATTCTCATCCTGTTTGTATCTGTACTATTACAGCAGCTCCTCACTGGTTCATCTTCTCTTAAATCTACTTTTTTCTCCTTCTCTGGAGTTTTTATAAAATGCACATCTCATCATGGTAACATCTAGATTCCTTAACATAGAATAAAAGATGCTTCAAAATCTTACTCTAACATTTCAGTCTCATGAATTGGTACTCTTTACCATGTAACCTCTACTATACAGGGAATAAAAATAAAGAAGTAAAGGGGAAAAAAGTAGTCCAAACTTTCCACCTTTAAAATCACCACATTCTAGGGGTGCCTGGGTGGCTCAGTCATTAAGCTTCTGCCTTCTGCTCAGGTCATGATCCCAGGGTCCTGGGATCGAGCCCCACATCGGGCTCCCTGCTCGGTGGGAAGCCTGCTTCTCCCTCTCCCACTCCCC